TTGTTGACCAAATAAATGAGCAGTAGAATGACATGATGAGATCTTTTCTAGACAGAGATGACTGGAGGGCGTCAGGGCTGGAGACTCGGGGAGCAATGTGTGTTTGTTGTACAGTTGTAGGTGAGCGATGATAAGGCAGGAGGTGGAGGGCAAAGGGATTAATGTGAGCTGGGTCCAGGACAGGGAAGAAGCAGGACTTGATAACTGATTAGGCTTAAGGAGCAAGGAGAGGGAGAAGGGGACCGATTTCCTGAGCTTTCTGGGTTAGGCGATGGATGATGGTTTGGGACATGTTGAGTTTAAGATACCTGAGAAACATTAAGATGGATGTCTAAAAGGAGTTGAATGTATGTGTCTAGAGCTCAAAAGAAGTGTCTGTGTACATAACAGATTTGCAGGTGGATTTTTGTACAATCTCCCCATGCCTATTAGTTTTGCAAGTGAAAGAAATTGAGGCCAAGAGAAACAGACTGCAAGTTTTTCAACAAGAATGGGTTTGCCTCCACTGATCCACATTCCTTGCTGGAGTCAAGTGGGAATCCCAGTCTCCAGGACTCTGTCCACTGCCTCCAGAGCCTGCCCAGTAGCACAATTGGAAATAGTTGGCCCTAGGATAATTGCTCTGTTCTCTCACTTTATTCTTCCAGCAAGTGTGTTTTTGTTGAATCCCCTTGAAACTCAGCAGCCAGCTCTGCATCTTAGCCAGAGGCTGAATTCTCTGTGCTAGCTCTTCTTGCTTGCTCTTCCTGAACCAAAATCTGGCTTAATCAAGGCTGCTCAGAGCTGAGCTTCTGAACTTAACTTGTTTGGTTAAGTACTCAGCTGCTATTCCTGATTGGGCCTTTCTCAACCAGCTGAGGGGATAAGGCGGCTTCTCTCATCCTCTCTGGTACCCTTGAACAGAGCAAGTACTCTGTGACCTTGGGCAAATGACTTTGACACTCTAGTCTTCAGTTTCCCCTTTTGTACGGCGAAACAAATGGTCTCTCTTCAACATTAGAAGAGCTGATGGATATGATACACTTAAAAACATTGTTGTGGCCGGGCACGGTGGCTCACACCTGTAATCCCAGCACTTTGGGAGGCCAAGGTGGGCAGATCATGAGGTCAGGAGCTCAAGACCAGCCTGGCCAACATAATGAAACCCCGTCTCTACTAAAAATACCAAAAAATATATATATATATTAGCCGGGTGTGGTGACAGGCACCTGTAGTCCCAGCTACTTGGAAGGCTGAGGCAGGAGAATCACTTGAACCCGGAAGGCAGAGGTTGCAGTGAGCCGAGATCACGCTACTGCACTCCAGCCTGGGGGACACAGCATTGTTGTAGAGCTCTTAGGTATTGTTTTTAAATGAGGAGTGCCTCGGTTTCAAAATGTTGCACATCTGGAAAAAGCATGTTTTGTTAGCTTTGGTATCAGAAAAACAATTGGCTGTGGCAAATCCATTCTGAGAGATTTCCTGAGTGCTGGTTTATCGTTCTGGTAGGAAGCAGGGAAAAATGGTGATAATGGGTGGAATAAGGCCAGAGAGTGAAGTGGCTGAGGGGTTGGGGTAGGGTGAGATCTGACCATTGGTGAAGTAGAGCAGAGGTATGAGGTCAGGCAGCCAGTTATGGCCAAGAGTCATGACAGAACAAAGTTATTAGGAACTTAGGAAGATGACTTAGAAGTTCTGGCCAGGCCAGGTGTGGTGGCTCACTCCTGTAATCCCAGCACTTTGGGAAGTTGAGGTGGGTGGATCACCTGAGGTTAGGAGTTCAAGACCAGCCTGACCAACATGGCGAAACCCCATCTCTACTAAAAATACAAAAATTAGCCGGGCGTGGTGGCGCACGCCTGTAGTCCCAGCTACTCGGGAGGCTGAGGCAGGAGAATCACTTGAACCCAGGAGGCAGAGGTTGCAGCGAGCCAAAATGGTGCAACTGCACTCCAGCCTAGGCGACAGAGTGAGACTCTGTCTCAAAAAAAAAAGTTCTGGCCAAAGCTGAGGCAATTCAAAGGATAGCAGGCACAGCAGAATGGAAGCTGTCGTCAGTCACTCTGTTAAAAGAAAAACTTTAGACAAATTAAATTTAGCGGATTTATTTAAGGTATAGAAGGATTTATGTTCCAGCAGCCCTCAGAACCAGGGGCAGTTCAGAGAGCTTCACCCAGCAACATGGGCAGGCAGCATTTATAAACAACAAAAGACAGTGAGTACAGCTACGGCTGGATTGGTTGCAGCTCCACAGTTGCCTGTTTGGGCATTTATGTAGACATGGGCTGATCAGTTGGTAGCCTGGGATTGGCTGAAGCTTGGCTGCTGTGATTGGCTGAGACTCAGCTACTTGTTATAAGAGCATACTTTTAGATTGTAGTTTGTTTACATAGTTAGGTTGCAGAAGAATAGGAACTCAAAGTATGGAGGCAACCTCAAGCCCATTTTAGTTTACTGCTCTCCAATGCTGAAGGAGGTGTGGTAGCCCCAAACCAGGGTGGGCGGGGCTTCAGACACCATACCTTCAAAAGAGACCTCAGTCACCACAACTGTTGGTCAGCAAGGATAAAGGACATCTATTCATGGATGTTTTTGCTGTTGGGGTTATACAAAAAGAGGAAACATAGCATTAAACTGAAGGGCAAAATCAGAAAATGCAACCAAAGGGAAGAGGGTGGATAATGAATAGGAAATTTAGAAAAGGGACATATTTATTTTTAATTAGGAAATTCAAAATTATAAGCCAGTTTAAATCAACTCACATTTATTTAAATTGGCATATGGTGCTGCAGCCTTGCAAGCTACCCTCGGGTTCTTCCAACTCCTCTAAGTAAAGAGGAAAAGCATTTGACCCCCACATCTAGGCCAGAGTGAATGAAGAGGGCCCTGGGGGAGCTCTGACCCCCATCCTCTGCAGTCCCTTGACATAGGGTGGGTAAAGCCCTAAGCCCGAGGTGGGTACAAGGTGAGACTCAGTAAGTGGCAGCTCTGTGAGGGGATTATCAGTGCCAGAAGCAATAGTATTGCTCAGGGAACTTTATTATTCTAAGGTGGAGATGTGGTACTCTACCAGAGTCCCCACCTCTTTTCCGTTTCTGACTTCTGCATCTGGTGCCACTCATCTTAGGGGTGTATATATGGTGAGTAACACTCAGCGGTGATGGTGTATAGGGAGCTGGAGCATCCCTCAGCTCCCCTCTGGTTCCCGTAGTGTGCAAGCCACTGCCTTCTTAGTTGTAGGGAAATGTTGTATCTATCAGTAAAACAGGAGCTGAAGGTTGGGCACAGTGGCTCATGCCTGTAATCCCAGCACTTTCGGAGGGCAAGGTGGGAGGATCACTTGAGACTAGGAGTTCAAGACCAGCCTGGGCAACATAGCGAGATCCTGTCCCTACAAAAAAATAAATTAATAAGCAGTGAAATAAAACAGGAGCTGAGAGAGAATATTATCTGTGTAGTACTCAATGGCTTGGTTCAAGTTCCAGCCCTGCCATCCTGCTAACCTGCCTACTTTGATACGTTACTGAATCTCTCAGTGCCATGTTTCCTTATCTGAAAAATGGCAGAAGTAGGATTGTTAGGATTGAAGTGAGAATGACCAATAGGCACAGTGCCTGCCATGTAGGATGCTCACCAAGAGGCGTGTAGAGTTGTTTTTGCTGTCATTATCAGTGACCATGGGGACTCAGAGGCTGCAGTTATGCACAGAAAGAAAGGCCAGTTTCCCGAAATGTAAAAGCATCACATTATTCATCATTGCCGGATGAGTAGAGGGAAATATAGCTGGACAGATGTGTGATCGAGCAGTCACAGTTTGTGGCCCCTGTAGAAGCTAGGTGGCGGGAATATGGGTGTTCACTCTGTAATTCTTTAAGCTGTTCTATATGTTAGTTGATGTTCACAATGAAACAGAGGGATGAAGGAATTCCACCTAGCAATGGGTCTTCAGAGCTGAAAAATCTATTTTGATACCAGTAACCTGAGTTCGGTAGGAATAAAAGAAGCCCAGCAGAAGCCTATGTGGTTCTACGGGACAGGAGTCATTCACTTAACTGAGAAATGTGTGTGTGTGTGTGTGTGTGTGTGTGTGTGTGTATGCGTGTATGCACGTGCATGTCTGTGCATGTACGTGTCTGTTTGTGTGTGTGTGTGTGTGTGAATGACAGTGTGTTAGTGGCAGGCATAGAAAAGTGGGATTAGGAGAAGGGAGGGACTCGGTGAGTAAGTACCCTTAATTTTTTTTTTCTGTGCCTCACCTCATTCCAAAAGGAATTTGTGGTAACTTGCAGAAATACCTTGATTTTAACAAGATAAAAATAAATGGAGGCTATAAATGAGCAATCATTTATGCTCATACTGCATGTCATGTCATAATCTTCTGAACACAAACTTTGAAAGAAGTGAGTGCAAATGTGGCCGTGACACTAAGAGCCCATAGAATCCCAGGTTCCAATTTCACTTGGTCACTGATTTTCCTGGATACCCAAGACAGTTGGGCCTCCCCCTTTCATTGATGATTTTAATATTCCAAATGCTTACGTAGAATAACCCAGAAAAATAATCCAGGTAGTGGACTTGGAGTAGCTGGCACTGCCTGGCTACATGACAGAGGCACCATTCATGTCCTCGACTGCACCATCTTGCGTGCAGCCATTGGGTCCTCCTGCACTCCCCTGTGTGTGATCTTCCCCCTGTTCTTCCCTATCCTTCCTCCAACCCTTCTTCCCCAGGCGGCATTCCACAGAATTTTTCTTTTAAAGCGCAAATGCAGCCATTTCAGTTAGAGAACTTTGCTATTTGGGCAAGATTCCTGAGCATTCGGGGCTCCATGGGCCTGTCTGTAGAAATGTGTGTCTAAAAAGAGCACTCCTTAGAAAGGACAGTTGTTGATTGGGATGCCGGCTGTATTTCTTGTCCTCAGCAGGTAATGTGCTGTTTGAAAAATGTTAAAAGCACTAACTCCTATTCTTATCTTTATTTTTTCCCTTTTCTCTCTTTCTTTCAAAATTACCTGTTCATAGTATATATTCTTCCAACTTCCATGCAGTGAAGAGGGAATCAGATGGGGCTCCTGGGGATCTCACTAGCTTGGAGAATGAGAGACAAATTTATAAAAGTGTCTTGGAAGGTGGCGACATCCCTCTTCAGGGCCTGAGTGGGCTAAAGCGACCATCCAGCTCGGCTTCCACTAAAGGTAATTAACTGGGTGAAGCCTGCAAGGCCTCCATCTCCCATCCACCTCCATTCACTGAGCGTCGGCCGTGGTGAACCTCCAGCAATGGGGATAAGTCGTGCCTTGTTCAGACCCACATCCAGGCCTCAGAGCCCTCTTAAATTCCCTCCCCTATTTTCTTACCGGCCATTTTTCTTTCTGGTTTTAATAGTTTCTGTTCCTTTGACCCCCCCAACCTTGCTCTCCTTAAAGATTTCTCTCTCTCTCTTTTTCTCTCTCATTCTGATTACCTTTTCTTAGAAATTAGCTGAGCTTTAGCCATTCCTAACTCTAGCAGGGTAGGCATTTTTTGTTGTTGCATCCTTGCACCTGCTTTGCAGCACAGATTATTTTGCTTCCGGACATCGACTGGAAATTTTTTAAAAGCCCTTATGACAAATGAGCATGTTACCTTTCCTTTTTCTTTTTAGCAGCTTTCAGCTTTAACCTAATGGGTCTATTTATTTTATTCTGCATGCTTACCAGTGGATCGTAAAGGTGGGAATGCTCACATGATTTCTTCATCTTCAGTCCATAGCCGAACGTTTAACACTAGCAATGCGTTAGGCCCTGTGTGTAAGCACAAGAAGCCCCTGTCAGCTGCGAAAGCCTGCATTTCGGAAATCCTTCCTTCCAAATTCAAACCCAGGCTCTCGGCTCCCAGCACTCTTTTGCAGGAACAGAAGAGTATCCTCTTGCCCTCAGAGAAGGCTCAAAGCTGTGAGAACCTTTGTGTTTCCGGTTCTTTGAATGATTCCAAAAGAGGCCTCCCCCTCCAAGTGGGAGGGAGCATTGAGAACCTGCTCATGCGCTCCCGACGGGATTATGACAGCAAGTCGAGCAGTACCATGAGCCTCCAGGAGTACAGCACCAGCGGCAGGAGGCCCTGCCCTCTCTCAAGAAAGGCTGGGATGCAGTTCACGATGCTTTATCGGGACATGCACCAGATCAACCGAGCTGGCCTCTTCCTGGGCTCCATCTCCTCCTCCTCGAGTGTGCGGGATCTTGCCTCCCACTTTGAAAAGAGTAGCCTGGCATTGTCCAGGGGTGAGCTGGGCCCCAGCCAGGAGGGCTCGGAACACATCCCCAAGCACACCGTCTCTTCCCGCATCACCGCTTTTGAGCAGCTGATTCAGCGGTCCCGTTCCATGCCATCCCTGGACCTGTCCGGCAGGCTGAGCAAGTCTCCCACACCTGTGCTGTCCCGGGGCAACCTGACCTCAGCCCGCTCGGCCGAGTCCCTCCTTGAGTCAACCAAGCTCCGTCCCAAGGAGATGGATGGGATGAACTCCAGTGGGGTCTATGCCTCCCCAACATGTAGCAATATGGCGCACCATGCCTTGAGCTTCAGGGGCCTTGTGCCTTCTGAGCCCCTCTCCACCTGCTCTGATGACCTGGACCGCTGTTCAAATATCTCCACTGACAGCAGAGAAGGCAGTAGCAGCAGCGTTCACGGAGATTTCCCCAAACATCGCCTCAACAAGTGCAAGGGCACCTGCCCGGCCTCATACACTCGCTTCACCACCATCCGGAAGCATGAGCAGCAGCAGACCTCTAGACAGCCCGAGTGGCGCCTGGATTCCAGAGGGGACAAGAGCACCCTCCTCAGGAACATCTACCTAATGAGCCCCCTTCCTTTCCGGCTGAAAAAGCCCCTCCACCACCACCCCAGACAACCTTCTCCTGGTGACTCCTCAGGCCTCCTGGTAGGCCAGAAGCCAGACCTCCCCAGTCAGCCCCATCAGGACCAGCCCCCTTCTGGGGGGAAGCCCGTGGTTCCCACACGCCTGTCTTCCCGACACACCATGGCCAGGCTTAGCCGCAGCTCAGAGCCCTCTCAGGAGAGACCCACGGCCCTGGAGGACTACCCAAGGGCCATTAATAATGGAAACTCCGTGCCATACTCAGACCACAGCCTGGACAGGAACAACAACCCACAAAGTGAACTGGCACCATCCCGCGGAGGTGGCATTTTGTGTGTTTGCCTAGTCTCACCTGCCCGTCCCTCCACTTTGCTTGCATTATCCCTTCCTCCTCTGTGCCCTTGGTGCTCATTTTCTGGTCTGTCCTTTGTTTTCTGTTTGTTTTGCTTGGCAATTAATCATGGCTCATAGTGGCTGCACTTCTTTAAAAACAAAGCCCCCATGTCATTTAGACTAACCACCAAACTGTGTTTCGAAAGAAAAATTGGCCGTTTAGCTCAACTGAGAAATGTGTTCATTTGAACTCCTGAACCCCTTGCTGTTTGTACCAAGCCCCAACATATCCCGTGGTTTTTTGAGAGGCAGCCTCTCTCAATGGCCCTATATGTGTGTGAGTGTGTGCCTTGTCCCTATAAGGTCCTGCACGCCTCTTTGTAGGGATACTTTACAAAGAAAGTTCTCTCATTTTGCTCACCTTTTGCCTTCTGAGTAGTTTTCTTTGCATTAAAGTAGTTCACAAATAAATCCAAAAAATGGGGCAGGGGGTGGAATTTTTTTTTTCCTTCAGAATTCGACCGTTGATCATTGATCAAGAATGACTTTAAAATTTTGATATTTATAATAGATGAAAGGTGAACTATTTTCCCAAGCTGGTTTCCAGCGAAATCTTTGCCTGTTTTAACTCTACTTTATTGTTTTAAAGATTCAGAATCGCCAAGACATTTTATACCAGCTGATTACTTGGAATCCACAGAAGAATTTATTCGAAGACGTCATGATGATAAAGAGGTAAATCCCATCTTTTAAATCTCTTAGCTTTTGCTTGGAAAAATGTATGAAGAAAATAAAGATTCTAGACATCTGTCAGAGAGGTGACATGGTCTAGCAATTGGAGACAAAAATTGAGGCTTTCACAAGTGATTTTTTTTATATGACATTGAGCCTATGTCATATAAAAAAAATCACTTGTGAAAGCCTCAATTTTTGTTGACTTTTTTTTTCTTTTTTTGGTCGACTTTTCCAAAAAGTAGGACTGATTTCCCCACAGGCACTAGGTTATAAATGCCAAGTCCAGCCAGCACTGCTGCATGGGAGATACGGAAAGAGATTGTCCACGGCAGTACTTAATGCTCTGTAAGCTGGGAACCAGAGTTTGCTCTTTCATCCCCCCTCAACCCCACGCTTGATAATCCCTAAGGAAATCCGCCTGCATATTTCTCCAATACTGCCCACCCCTCTGTTGGCACAAAGCATTGTTCAAATTGAGAAGGATGCAATAGGAGAAAGGAAAATGAAAAATAGTAATGACCTTGATACATTTTATAAAACAATTTGAGGAAGTTGCCTATAACTCTGTTGCCTTCAATTCAGAAGAAGGCAGATACACCAAGAAATACTGGAAAACCCCAGCCAAGAACTTCAAAATGTGGATATTTTCTTGTAGCTACTGAAATGCCTGTCCTGCCATGGGGTGACTGGCAGGGCCTGGGAAAGAGCCCCTTTTCTCGGGGATTTGGGAAGAGGTGATTCTTTGTATCAGTCAAATGGGCAAAATCACAAGCTTCTGCTGGGATAAAGCATTGTGATGATACATGCTTTCTGGGCCTCACATCCCCAAGAAAAAGAGTCCTAGAGATTAAACAAGCTCCCGAGCCCATATTCCTGAAATGAATTAAGAGATGGAAAAATCACATTGACCTGGTAGGAGTGGGGGAGGGAGTGCATGTGTACACAACTCTGTCCCATTCACGTTCAAGTCTGAAGCCCTTTTTCTCTGTTGTTATGCCTTGTTGAGTAGTTCCAGAGTTTAGGTGGGGTTTCCTGAAGGATTTAGGATAAGGCTGACTTGGGGACGAGTGGGATGAAGATAATTATTGCCACCAGATGGCGAAACAAAAGACAAAAATAAAAGCACCATGGCCAGGCGCGGTGGCTCATGCCTGTAATCCCAGCACTTTGGGAGGCCAAGGCAGGTGGATCACTTGGGCAGGAGTTTGAGACCATCCTGGCTAAAACGGTGAAACCCCATCTCCACTAAAAAAATACAAAAAAATTAGCCGGGCGTGGTGGCGGGCGCCTGTAATCCTAGCTACTCGGGAGGCTGAGGCAGGAGAATCGCTTGAATCCAGGAGGCGCAGGTTGCAGTGAGCTTGAGATCGCACCACTGGGCACCAGCCCAGGCGACAGTGCGAGACTCCGTCTCAACAAAAAAAAAAAAGAAAGAAAGAAAGTTAAACTGCTGTACCTCTCCCCATCTCCGGGCACAATTGAACAGTATTCAATAAGAAACTTGCACCGGTCCATGGAAAGAAACAAGATAAAGCATCTGATGTACAGTTATTATTGTAATAACTCACTAATGATGAGTATCCATCAGGCCATAGAGCAGATTCATTTCTATAGCTCTTTGTTAAATATTTCCTGCCACAAGATACAAGATTCCCATGTATGTAGGCCGGGGCTGCTATGATGAAGGAAGATGAAATTCCATGTTAGTAATATAAGCCCTAGTCTCTGACCTAGAAGGTTCTATGGGACAATTCTTGCCTACCACATGGGAGGTGTAGTTTATCTAGTGGCTTAGCAATGGATATATTAGAAGTTACATAAGAAGGCGAGCAGTTGTCTCCTGAATAACACTGGCTCATAGATCCTTAAAAGTTTTGTGTCTTTATCCATGGTTTTTGGCTTATATGGTTAAACTACAGTGCTGAGGGACTTACTAAGGTCAGATTAAAGTACTGGATTGGGAGCTTTGCCCCATTTGATGTCCACTTCCACTGATTATGTTTAACTCCAGCCAGAACACAAGGGGCCGTGAGTAAGAACTGTGGCAGTCTCAAGCATCACTCCATTCCCATGGCTACAGAAGCAGCTGACACTTCCCAGCTCGTGGGATGTCAGTCAGGCCCTCCCCATTGCAAATGCTTTATCATTAACATGGATTTTCAGAAAATGAGAACATATCAGACTTGGCAGGAACATTAGTGGTCATGTAGCCAAGCCCCTGGTTTAGTCCAGGAAAGGACCACAGCAAGGTAGTAGCTTGCCCAGGGCTGCATAGTAAGTTAACCTATACCAATAGCAGAGCTAGAAACCAGGGTTCCAGATGCCTGGACCAGCACTCTTTCTATAGCACTGGGCTTCTCAGAGGACTTTCTCATGTCTTTTCTCATTTATCTTTACAACTTACTTGAGTACTGGAAATCCCACAGCCATTTGATGAGTTGTCACTTTGTTATTTGTAGTCTCTGGAGAATCGGCCCACCCTCCTTTGGGGTTGTATGTCACATGAAGCATTTAATTGCCTGCTGGAAGAAGCCTACTGTTTTCCAATGCTAAGAATCAGTTCTAATTCATGATTTCCTATAAGGAAAGTTAATCCCAGGAAAGTAAGATTGTCTAGTATCAGAAAACACATTTAAAATTCTGTTCCATGGGGTCATTTTAATAGACATTGAGGGCATTTGGTAAAAAGCAACATTGTTTGATTTTTCAAAGAAGCCTTTAAAAATAGAAATAGATGACTTTTTCCTTACTCTAAGAGAGAATATTTCTTCTAATCCCAGGTACCATTATTCTTAGGGTTTTTTTTTTTTTTATATTTATATTCTTTGTCATTCCCTTAACTCAGCTTCATTTCACCTAGTGAAGACATCATTCAGTAAGAAAGCAACTGATGCTCTCTGTCGGCCACGTAATTAGCCTTTGGTGCATATCCCAAGGCCTTCTAAAAATTGTGCCTAGGGGAAGACTTGGCTGTCTAGAAGGGGCTTCATCTTTTCTGAAAGGGGCTGCTCCACTCTGTCAAGAGCATATTAGAGTAGTAGATACAGGAATCACAAAAACGACCTGGTGCCATAGACTTCACTAGCAAAAGCCTATAGCAGGTTTAATAGGCCTGAGATGGGCAGGAGGAACTGTCCATCCCTGGTCCTGCCAGGGGAATATGCTGTGGGAATATATCCTTGCCTAAAAACAGGGTAGAGATGGCACTTCCAGCCTCCTGTTGCCAGCCCAGCATGGTTGGGAATGCCCTGGATGTGCCCCTGGCTCACCTGGCCTTTTGCTGCCAGGAGCAGGAGGCTTTGGACTGCGCCGGGGGTAGGTAGTTTGCTGGACAGTGTAATCATGTGGAATCATCCTTCCCCTATCCTGGCTTTCCCAGTGAAGTGCTGCCTCCTTTCTATAGTGTTCGGAGGGTAGTTACGATGGGAGTGTAGTAGCTGTGGCTCTAAGGCCCTTGTGACAGCTGACCCTTAAAGCCTCTGCCCCATTCACCCAGCGCCTCCTTCCCTAATTACTTTTGTTGGCAGTTTTCTAATACGCTGGAACAGATGATTCACTGCCCATTTTATGCAATTTTATGGCAGAAACTTTTAGCGGACCAGAGACGACTTAAGCGCGAGCAAGAAGAGGCTGATATTGCAGCTCGACGCCACACAGGCGTCATTCCGACGCACCATCAGTTTATCACTAATGAGCGCTTTGGGGACCTCCTCAATATAGACGATACCGCCAAAAGGAAATCTGGGTCAGAGGTCTGTTTTGGTCACCTCAATCTGCTGCTTGACCCAAAGCAATATTTGCCTATTTGCCTCCCCTCAGCATTGCCCTCTGTAGGCCAATTTAGTTCTCCAAACAGCATTTGTCATCCTGGCCTCCCTTAGGCTTGCTTTGGCTTCTTGTGGCTGGTAAATAGACATGACCTCATTATGTCCTGTGCTCTGTATGTTCAAGCATGCCTGGCTGGGGGACCGGGGTCTGCTGGCACATGCCCCTGTTGCATGCCTTAGAGCATTGGCTGCCTTCGTGAGTCCAGCCCTCCACATCCTGCATTTTATCATGCTACTGTGTTGCCTGTGCGTTCTGCTTAGAAACCTGATACCTGAGTCCATATGCATTGGTAGCTATGGTGTGGACAGTTACACAATTCTTCTTTGAAGAGATGGTTAATGAAATTTTACAAAAGTTAGCTTAACAATACTTTGTACCATTTACGAAGGCCTCCAAATTTAGTGCCATTAATTTTGAAATAGAGAACAATGCTGCTGCTCACATGTAGGTGGATGAACTGTGTGAAGCATTCAGTAGTGCTGCAGTAGTGCGCCTCACTGAAGAATTTTGAAGCCCAAAGACTTTCGCAGTTAGGATAAACCCACAGAGGGTAAGAGAGTTCTCCAAGGGATGTTTCATTTGTTCTTTTAGTTTTGACATTTCCAAGCCTAGGTTATGAAAGCTTAATATTATAAAAGGAAAGAGAAGAACAAACTTTGAAGTGATTTTTATCCAGATCTTGGCCTCCTACACTAAGGTCAACATGTTGAAATTCTCATGCTAGCCAAATGCTGGATCTTGCGTAAGAGTTTATGCTTTGCCATGTAACCCTTAAGTAGCCCCACTGAAGATGATCTTTTTTAGGGAAAATGGGCGTATCTGGGATTTGGGGTGGGAGCTAGGGAAATGGGGGAATAACACCCAAAGTATGTACTGTTTTATATCCTTTCAATACAGTAGCTTAATATTTATGTTTATTTATTTATTTTTTAATTTTTATTTTTCTCTCTAGAAGCATCATTGCCTATTCATCTTTTGTTGTTGTTGTTGTTGTTGTTGTTGTTTTAGAAATGTGACTGGGCATAGTGGCTTACACCTGTAATCCCAGTACTTTGGGAAGTCAAGGTGGGAGAATTGCTTGAGCCCAGGAGTTCGAGACCAGCTTGGGCAACATAGACCTCCATCTCTAATTAATTAAGTAGATAGATAGATTGGTAGATAGCCAGACGTGATGGCACATGTCTGTAGTCCAAACTACTGGGGAGGCTGAGGCAAGAGGCTTGCTTTAGCCTGGGAGGTCAAGGCAGTGAGTCATGGTCATGCCACTGCACTCCAGCCTGAGCAACGGAGCAAGACCCTGTCTCAAAAAAAAAAAAAAAAAAAAGTGTCTGGGAAGAAGAGATAGTGAAAAGAGGGAACCAAATGAAAAGAAAGAAAGCTGGCTGGGTTTAGTGGCTCAAGTCTATAGTCCCAGCACTATAAGAAGCTGAGCCAGGGCGATCACTCACGGCCAGGAGTTCAAAACTAGCCTACACATCATAGGGAGACCTCATCTTTACAGTTAAAAATATGTGTGTGTATATATATAATATACATATTATAATATATATAATATTATATTTTATGTATATACAAAATATATAGAAAAAATTAGCCAGGCTTGGTGGTGCATGCCTATAGTCACAGCCACTTGGGAGGCTGAGGTGGGAGGATCACTTGACCCCAAAAGTTCAAGACTGCAATGAGCTATGAACACATCCCTCCAACCTGGGTGGCAGAGTAAGATCCTGTCTCAAATTAAAAGAAATTTGAGCCTGTCTCAAATTAAAAGAAAAAGGAAAGCTGGGGAAGAGAAGGAGACTCTAAAGTGATGGAGAAAAAGAAAATCTATCAAGGAAGAAGCAAAAGTTAGCGAGTGTTAATTGCAAGGGAAAGATAGCCCTTGAGCCCTCAACGTTCCAGCTCCTCCTCAAAATGGCCCTTCTCAGAAGGCTCTGAGCATGGTTTGTCCTCACCGATAGTCCTGCCTGCTTGTAGGTAGAAGAAGATGGGAACAGGTAAAGGTGCTAGGGCTGCACACTTACACATGTACTTGATACATGCAAACAGAAATGCACCATGGGTAGAATAACCATGGACAGAGGCAGGCAAACTCTGCCTAGTGAGCCTGCCTCCCTTCTAGAGCAAACTCTGACAAGTGCGTTAGCATCCCCCGGAGGGCTTGGTAAAATACAAACCCTGGATCCTATCTGCAAAGTTTCTGATTCTGCGGTGGGGCCTGAAATTTACATTTTTAACAGTTTCCCAGGTGATATTGGTGATACCGGTTTAGAGACCACATTTTGAGAATTACTGCCCTAGAAGTTGACTGATGGACTTGAAAAAGTAGAGACCAACACATCCCAGGTGCACCACACTGTGTCAAGGCACTTCAGTCCCATTCAGTAGGACTGGGGTGACCACTGGTTCTGTGTAAGACCCTATGGGAGGCAGAAAGAACTCTGTCTGTGTGCCCTTGGGGAGCTGATAGTGGAAGAGTCTCCCTCTTACACAGTTATCTCTGTCCTATAGTAAGTAATACAATACTATGAAAGCCAGAGGAGGGAAAGATGGATTCAGTCTTGGAGCTACAGGGAGATAAAAAGGGAGAGGATGCTGCTTTGTATAACCACCGATGACTCACATACACGTCTCAAGAGTTCAATGGAATCAGTGAATTTTAACAGGCCTTCAGTGAAAAAAATCTCACCACACCCCATTATTAACCTAAGTCCACTCACAAATTAATCATAAACTACAAACCTATATAATTATATTGACTTAATTGATAGGAAATACTGTTTTGACAGAACTCAGTTACCAGAGTGTGAATGTGGTGCTGCTTTGGTATACATTTTTTAAAGTTCACACAGCTCTACAGCTGGGTGACATGAGGTAACCTACTTCCTTGTGTTTTTCTATTGGAATCACTGTAAAATTCTTATCCTTATAATTTTGGTCATTTAGTTTTCTCTTGTAAACTTGTCATTTGTCATTAACCGCACATCCGTTCTTTTCTTGTTCACCTGCAACTGTGAAATTATGCCCTTTGGTTACAGACACAAACACAGGTATTGAAATTGTGTGGCTTTAACTTGATTATAAGGTGATCATTCACTTGGCCCCAGTATGTATGGTATAGATAGGTAGATAGATGAAAACATCAATGTGAAAATGCAAACTTTAAAAATACCTGCAGAAGGCTAGGCACAGTGGCTCACACCTGTAATCCCAGCACTTTGGGAGGCCAAGGCAGGAGGACTGCTTCAACCCAGGAATCTGAGACCAGCTTGGGCAACATCGTGGACCCTATCTGTACAAAAATTACCCAGGCTTGGTGGTGCGTGCCTGTAGTCCAGGCTACTCAGGAGGCTGAGGTGGTAGGAGCATCTGAGCCTGGGGAGTCAAGACTGCAGTAAGCCATGATTGTGCCACTGCACTCCAGCCTGGGCAACACGGCAAGACGCTGTCTCAAAAAAAAGAAAGAAATTCCACAGCCAGGCGTAGTGGCTCACGCTTGTAATCCCAGTACTTTGGGAGGCCAAAGTGGGCGGATCACTTGAGGCCAGGAGTTAGAGACCTCCCTGGCCAACATGGTGAAACCCAGTCTCTACTGAGAAATACAAAAGTTAGCCAGACATGGTGGCACATGCTTGTAGTCCCAGCTACTCAGGAGGCTGAGGCAGAAGTATTGCTTGAACCTGGGAGGCAGAGGTTGCAGTGAGCTGAGACCGTGCCACTGTACTCCAGCCTGGGAGACAGAGCAAGACCCTGTCTCAAAAAGAAAAGAAAAAAGAAATTTCAGAGAGAGGAGGGGATAGGAGGGGGTTCAGTTGAGGTGTAGCAAATAGATTTGACTGGAACAGGAACAGTGTAGTAGAGATAAAGGCAATTCGGTAAGAGTAGGGAGAAACTACCCAGAGGCCTTCACCTATGGCAGGAATTGAGATTTGAACTGAGGGAAAGTTGAGAGCAGCAGCCAACTTCAAAGCAAGGAAGAGATGTGAGGAAGAATGTTAGGAATGTTATATGTGCTCCCGGGTGACAGATTAGAGTGAAGAGAATGTGAAATCAAAGGAAGCTTTGTGTCAATGGAAACTAGGCGTCAGCTTTGAGCAACAGGGTTGCGGAGGGATGGAGGTGTGGAGGGAGGTCCCTCCTGACTTAATGACACACTTGATCAGGAAGTGGAGAAGGGGCGGAGGCTGACTCAGACCTGGGCATCTGGGAAGAGAGGACTACCCAACAGGATTGGAAGTCTTGGCAGGAGTCATTTGAGCTCAGGGACCACTTTATCTGGCTTTTTGGATGATGTCTGTAAGAAATATATGGAGTTGGAGATGATGCGAGAAGTGAGTCGGCGTTTCATCTACTTGCATATCATAATTTAAGCAAATAGATGTCCCTAAGGAGTAAGACAGTAGATAAGGTACATCTTAGGACTTCTGGCTGACTTTGTCTTTTGTTTGTTTGTTTTTTTAATAGCCATGGTCTGTATGTTTTGAGGAACTGGTACCTCAGCTTTGGGACCTTTCTAATCATCTCTTCCCCAGATCTGGTTGTTTTTAGGGGATTCTCATGCATGACATACATAGTTAACTAAACATTTATCTAGTATTCTACTAAGGTCAGACAAATGCAATTTTGCCCAGATTTCTACACTAGAACAAACTGGCTAGAGTGAATTTCTCTGCTTTGCTTTCTAGAAATTTGTGAAAATGTGTCCTTGTTGTACCTGAATCCTGATTTTAACTTGTCATTGTTTCTTATGTTCAGATGAGACCTGCCAGAGCAAAATTTGACTTTAAAGCTCAGACACTAAAGTAAGTGCTACCAGTTATATTTATTTATCTTTTTAGCTGCCTCTTTGAAACACAGCAGTTTGTTTGTAGAGAAGAGTTGGAGAAATAACAATTATAAAAATTGTTGTTAAAAAAAAAAAAGAACAAAACAGTAGTTCATAGAGTTTGCTATGTGCCAAACACTATTCCGAGTACTTTGCATATGTTAACTCATTATGGAGTGGGTGCTGTAATGATCCCCACTGTTCAAATGAAAAGACCAAGGGACTATAAGGTTAAGGAACCTGCTCAAGCTGGTGTGAGAGAGTTGGAATTCAAACCTAGGCAGAGGTTGGGCTCTTATACCCTGTCCCACCCTGCCTCCTCCTATGTAGGGGCTCTATTTGCTTAAGTGGTGGCTTGGTCTGACCCATCTTTTCTGTGGAAGGATCTAGACCAGTCTCTAGGGAGATAACTTTACCCATTTTGCTACAACATCCCAAGAGATTAAAGGCTTGCATGAACCCACAGGAGACTAGCGTTTCTGTAAGTGTGTTCCTCAGAGTGCTAGCCCTATAAGATTTTTCTCAAAAAGGGAGTTCTGTTGTAGAATGAGTTGGGAAACACTGCATGCTATATCTATACCTCCCACCCACTTTGAAGAAATACTTTGTTGATGGCATGTTAATAGCTCCAGAAGTCTTTCAAGAAAGGAACCTGAAACACGATTTGGGAAATGCTACCAAAGATTGGGTTCCATAAGGAAACAGCTGGCTTTTTATCTAATTATGGATTTAAATAGTCCATGAGTTCTCATCGGCAGCTAAAAGTACAATGGACAGTGGCCACCCCATTGTCCTGCAGATGGACGGTCATGCATCTGGTGATCAGAGGGAGAGCTCCCTGTCCTTAGATGCTGGAAAATGCTATGTGGAGCTAACCAACCATGGTTCTGATCTCCTCTATCCCACAAAATGAGCGACCAGGCCACAGTGTCTAGAACCTAGGCACAAATCTGGTATAGTTGGGTTTGTGTGTATTACTCCAGTCCTTTAGTTGGTCAGCTAAAGGAGGTGGCGGCGTACTATACTGCAAAGATTGTGAGCTTTAGAGTCAGGAAGTCCTGTGTTCAAATCCTGACTATGCCACTTACTATCTCTGTGAGTGTAGTCAAGTTATCAACTTCTCCCCCACTCAATTTTCTTTATCTGCAAGATACGGGTAAAAATGCCTCTCTTTCAGGGAAGCTGGGGTAATACCTGTAAAACATTTTGTGTAGTGTACCAAAATTTAGTGCTCAAAATATGTTATCCTCTTACCCTCCTTTTTTTTAAAACCAGACAAGATAACAGAGATATATAAATTAATTTGCAATTTAATTAATACACTTTTTCTTTGAATTGAGAAAGGTCTATGTAAGATTTATTAAATGGTCTAGTGATGATAATAGTACATTTTCCCAGATTTCATGAAGAGTCTTAAAACAACTTTTTTTTAGAGCAACCCCGTCAAATAGAACAGGTGAGAAAGCTTAGATCCACAGAAATTGTCACCTTTTATCAACATTGCTAATGCCGGAGAGAGGTTTCCTTCCTTCTGATTCCGTGTTTTCATCACGACATGCTGCCTCCAAAAAAACGTCCACAAAATTTAGTGAAAAAAGTAAATTCTAGCTCCATGGTCTTTTAAGCCCTTCAGTCACTTGGTTTTACATTTCCCCACAGTCAGTTACTCAAAAAAGCATGCTGCCGGGGCCAGGCGTAGTGGCTCATGCCTGTAATCCCAGGACTTTGGGAGGCCGAGGCTGGCAGATCACTTGAGGTCAGGAATTCAAGACCAGCCTGACCAACATGACGAAACCTTGTCTCTACCAAAAAATACAAAAATTAGTCGGGCGTGGTGGCAAGTGCCTGTAATTCCAGCTACTCAAGAGTCTAAGGCATGAGAATTGCTTGAACCCAGGAGGTGGAGGTTGCAGTAAGCTAAGATCATGCCACTGCATTCCAGCCTGGGGAACAGAGTAAGACTCCATCTAAAAAATTTAAAAAAACAAAAAAAATAAAAAGCATGTTATGGAATACTTGGTTCAACAAAGTTAAACAAGTTTCTTTCCCCTGGGTCTTCTCAGAGCCTCTGCTGTGCTGATGTACACTGTGATGCTCCAAAAAAGATCTAAAGCGAATCATATTTCTCAAACCCTCTCACCAGCAGACCTGGTCGTGTGGTTCTTTGGGAGCTAGGGGTATAGTCCACAGTAGTGGCAGAATGGGGCCCCAGGTTTCCCATGGTAGACTTCCATCAGCCACAACTACTGACCCCTCAGTTCCTCTCTCACACACAAGTGTATCCTTTGCTTAACAGTAGGACCATTATGCTCCCACCCCCCTCCACAGCTGCAAGATACTTAGTATAGTAGAGTCAGGAGCCTGCAGGTCTCCACAGCAGTGAATATGCTGAGGGTCTTGCTCATCTATGTGCCTGTGGTTGGGGGTGAAGGGAGAGGGAATTCATAATGCCCCCCAAAGAGGGCTGTGGCAAAAATGCGGCCCGAGACATTCCTTCTCATAGAGACAAATGCCCACATCCCCTTTACAGACCTCTTGAGGGTTAGAATCCTGTCTGCTCATGTGAGACCCACAAAGGCTGCCTTGTGCTTTTCTTCAGCACAGAACTGACTTTCTATAGTTTTCCAGATGTGCCCTCATTGTTAGGCCAGCACCCCTCACATACCGTGGGACTTCCTGGCATCCTGCAAAGTGAGCACACCCCTTCCAAGTTACAATTGGAGACCTTTCCATCCTATTGGTTTGACACAAATGAAAAAGATCTAGGTCATTTTTTTTTAATTCAGTAAAATGTTACAATTTTAAAATTATTTAATTCAAGAAAAAGTTGTAAGTGCCAGGCGCGGTAGCTCACGCCTGTAATCCCAGCACTTTGGGAGGCCGAGGCGGGCAGATCACCTCAGGTTGGGAGTTCGAGACCCGCCTGACCAACTTGGAGAAACCCCATCTCTACTAAAAATACAAAATTAACTGGGCCTGGTGGCCCATGTCTGTAATCCCAGCTACTGGGGAGGCTGAGGCAGGAGAATAGCTTGAACCCGGGAGGCGGAGGTTGTGATGAGCCGAGATCACGCCATTGCACTCCAGCCTGGGCAACAAGAGCAAACTCTTGTCTCAAAAAAAAAAGAAAAAGAAAAAGTTCTAATTTTTATCCTTAAGTTTTCATTTTTAAAATTTGCCTTTGTCTAATTTTTTTTAAAAAAGAGTCCTGGTTAAAAATTAACATCATCTGGGCCAGGCGCGGCGGCTCACGCCTGTAATCCCAGCACTTTGGGAGGTCAAGGCAAGTGGATCATGAGGTCAGGAGTTCAAGACCAGCCTGACCAACATGGTGAAACCCCGTCTCTACAAAAAAAAAAATTAGCCGGGCATGGTGGTACGTGCCTGTAGTCCCAGCTGCTCGGGAAGCTAAGGCAGGAGAATTGCTTGAACCTGGGAGGTGGAGGTTGCAGTGAGCTGAGATTGCACCACTGCACTCCAGCCTGGTGACAGAGTGAGACACTGTCTAAAAAAATAAATAAATAATAATAATAATAATAATAACATCATCATTATTAAGGCAAACAAAAGAATGGATATGGAAAAGTTGCAAAGGGGCACAAAGAGTATTTGAAGGAAAATCTACTTTTCTTTCCAACATCACTTTTCCATGTTAAAAAGCAAAGGAACTAGGCCGGGCACGGTGACTACATGCCTGTAATCTCAGCATTTTGGGGGAGACTAAGGCAGGAGGATCACTTGAGCCCAGGAGTTCAAGACCAGCGTGGGCAGCATGGCAAAACCCCATCTCTACGAAAATATATATGTAACAATTGGCCAGGCATGGTGGTGCATGCCTGTAGTCCCAGCTACTCAGGAGGCTGAAGTAGGAGGATCACTTGCGCCCAGGAGGTTGAGGCTGCAATGAGCCGTGATCATGCCACTTGCACTCCAGCCTGGGCAGCAGGCTGGAGTAAAACATTACTTTGTTTCATGAAAAAAAGTAATGGAATTAACATTTATTGAGTGTTACCTACCTGTACAACAGGCACCATCCTAGCTGTTTATTTTTAGTTTGTTGAAGCATTCTCCAGCAACTCTGAGTTAGCTCCAAGTTCAGCTAAAGAAACAGTGTCTCAGATTAAGTATTGTGTCCATGGTCCCAGAGCTACTAAATTTCAGAACTGGGTTTTGGACCAGATCTGCCTAACTTCAGAACCTTTCTACTGCATGATGATACAAAGATGGATGGTAAAATGGATGGGTGGACAAATGGTGAAATTGATGGAATGATAGAAGGATGTCAATATATCACAAATAATTTGAGGGCAATTTAAAGCAACGAAGGCATGTCCTGCTAGGGCATAGAAGAGGATAGTGAAGGTATCCAGAAGGAGACACTTTTCTTCGTTTAATAAACATCAGTTAAGGCAGCTGAGTGCATTGCTGTGTGTTGCATAAATATTCTGAGCATAAGACAGCATTCACAAAAAATGCATTTAGAAAACCACAACAAATTAATAAGGCCTCTGAGCACTTTCAAGGGCTAGTCAATTTGAATGTTAACATCCATCCTGCAAAAGACTGGAAAAATGCCAAATGTGATGTAATTTCCTGAATAGTGGGGTTCTTACTTCCAAATATGGAGTCCCCTCTCTGGAATTTGTACCCTTTGACCCCACTTAAAAGTCTTCTTTTGCTACAAAACTGAAGTGTCTTAATTTTACACATACTGAAACATCTGCTAAAATGCCGTTGACCCTCTGTCGACAGGGAGCTTCCTCTGCAGAAGGGAGATATTGTTTACATTTATAAGCAAATTGATCAGAACTGGTATGAAGGAGAACACCACGGCCGGGTGGGAATCTTCCCACGCACCTATATTGAGGTACCGCAGCCCCTTTTCTTTCTAAGGAAAAGCCTGACCGTGCCCAAAACACTGTTTATTTACTAAATGCTTATGTTTTGTTTCCTCCTTTTCCTCTTGTTTCCCTGCTTTCTTCTCTTCCCTTGTTCTCTTTTACCTGTTTCCCTTTCTCAGCTTCTTCCTCCTGCTGAGAAGGCTCAGCCCAAAAAGTTGACACCAGTGCAGGTTTTGGAATATGGAGAAGCTATTGCTAAGTTTAACTTTAATGGTGATACACAAGTAGAAATGTCCTTCAGAAAGGTAAGCTGCCCTTCTCATGTCTTGCTTTGGGGCTCTCTTGGATGGCGCAGCTATGTGGGGAAGTGTGGCGTTGCTATCACATCCCAGTCTGGGGGTGCTGTCTGTACCGTTAAGAGAAGTATGCCGATCAATAATTGCATTAAGGGCTGGGCACGGTAGCTCACGCCTGTAATTCCAGCACTTTGGGAGACCGAGGTGGTTAGATCACTTGAGGTCAGTTTGAGACTATCCTGGCCAACATGGTGAAACCCCGTCTCTACTAAAAATACAAAAATTAGCTGGGCATGGTAGTGGGTTCCTGTAATCCCAGCTACTCAGGAGGCTGAGGCAGGAGAATCATTTGAACCTGGGAGACAGAGGTTGCGGTGAGCTGAGATCACTCCACTGCACTCCAACCTGGGCAATAGGGTGAGATTCTATCTCAAAAAAAAAAAAAAAGAATTGCATTAAGGCCTGTAATCCCAGCACTTTGGGAAACCAAGACAGGAGGCTCACTTAAGGCCAGGGGTTCAAGACCAGCCTGAGCAACATAGCAAGACCCCGTCTCTATTGAAGAAAAAAAATAAAAGAATTGCATTAAGGGAAATTGGAGAATTTTCTGAGGTAAGGTATTTTTAAAATAAACCCTAGGCTAATGTCAGGGTTTAACTGTATTGAGCTCACTGATTAAAGATAGTATTTCTGGAGTCTTAGACATCTTTTATAAGCTGTTTTCAACCAACACTTACCAACTAATGATGTGATAATGCACTGTGTTGGGAACTGGGTTTTACAATATATTGGTGTGACCTAGTGGAAAAAACAAGTGCATTGATACCAGGAGAAGTTTGAAAAGCTTTGAACCCAAAAGGCACAAACCAGCTGTGCAGAATGTGGGAGTTAAATACTTTTTCAAGCCACCATTTTCTTATAGAAAAAAATGAAGATAGATGGCTCCCCCCTAGGTGGTTGTAAGAGACTTAGGTGAAACAGCTTATGTGAAGCCCCCAGCATGACACATGGTGTCTGGTTTGTGCTTAGTAAACAGGAGATGCCAGTATCATTATCATCACCGTCATGCTTATTCAGACGCAATTACACTGTGCAGAGAAGTTCTTCTTTCCAGAATCCAAACACTCTACATGGCAAAATTCTCTGGCTTGCTAAAGTTACTAAGTTACTGATTTTTATTGAGGATTGAGGGAAGTGAGCACATGGGTTAGAAAAAGATGAGCCATCTTATATAACACTGGAAGCAACCCAATTTACCCTACAGCAGGGGATCAGTAATTAAATCATTATATGTGTGTGCAACAGAATACCCTGCAGTCGTCCATTAAGCTGTGCAATGCCATTAAAAATCTAGAATTCTATTTTTTGATAAAGAAGGAGGTTTACTATATACTATTAAGTATTTTTTAAAAAGCAAGTTGGAAAAGTATGGAAATACAGTTCATACTCAATTTTTATAAGAAAAAATATGTGAGGTTTAATTCACATGCGTAGAAGTAAATCTGGAAAGTCCATATGCCAAATATTAATAGTGTTTATCCCCAAATGACTATGTGATGGGTGATGATTGCTTTCTGCTTTATGTTTGTGTTCAGATTTTTCTATAATGATACATTGTAAGTATTTATAATGCTACAAAAGAAAGAAAAAGAGAAACCCCCCAAAATCTTTGCCTTAGAGATGAAGATCGGATATCTGTTTCACATTAAATGAGTCAAAAACACTACATTTGTTCCCTGGCTTAGGGGCACAAATCTGATGTTCTCCTTTACTAAAATACTTAAAGAACCAAGGTAAACTTCCCAGCATCAAGGTAGCTCCTCTGCCATTAGCATCCTCATCCCAGTGGTGGTAATTCCCTCCAGGTTCAGCAGGGAATGTTTTTCCTGAGCTAAGAATGTGGTAAACAATGCAGGACATTGAAGCATGCAGGCAGAGGCCCCAGGCATGCAAAGGCATGCTAGGACAAGGACCCTGTCTTTGCTGTGTCTTCCAGGGTGAGAGGATAACACTGCTCCGGCAGGTAGATGAGAACTGGTACGAAGGGAGGATCCCGGGGACATCCCGACAAGGCATCTTCCCCATCACCTACGTGGATGTGATCAAGCGGCCACTGGTGAAAAACCCTGTGGATTACATGGACCTGCCTTTCTCCGCCTCCCCAAGTCGCAGTGCCACTGCAAGCCCTCAGGTATCTAAGCTTCTCGTCGCTGGTTTTCATACTCAGCATGTGAGTTTTCTTAGTCAACAGTGCTGTTGGCACACAGCCTCTCTGGGGAGGTTTTTGAGCACTGCAATTAAAAACTGTCTGCAGGAGGCCGGGTGTGGTGGCTCACGCCTGTAATCCCAGCACTTTGGGAGGCTGAGGTGGGTGAATCACCTGAGGTCAGGAGTTCGAGATCAGCCTGGCCAACATGGTGAAACCCTGTCTCTACTAAAAATTCAAAAATCAAAAAAAGATGGCGGGCACCTGTAGTCCCAGCTACTTGGGAGGCTGAGGCAGGAGAATTGCTTGAACCTGGGAGGCGGAGGTTGCAATGAGCTGAGATCACGCCACTGCACTCCAGCCTGGGCGACAGAGCGAGACTCTGTCTCCAAAAAAAAAACAAAAAACAAAAACTGCAGGAAAGCAGACTGTACACTGGACTTTGTCTTCATGCATACAAATGGCCTTTTCCAGTGCTTGGTTGAAGATATATTATCTCAGGGGAAAAGGAAGAGTCAGATAATTGCTCTGGGAATAAAGTGACTAGGGAAAGAGAAACAAAAGCCTTTATCAGTTGGTCCCTCCTGGGTGAAGCTGTTGGTGTGGGGACCACCACTGTGTCATAAATCCCATGGTCCAAATGTGGTCCTCAGTCATCTTGGCCAAAGTTGGCCTGCAGAAGACAAAGGCTGAAAGAGAGACTTACACCTTCTTCTCGTCAGCCACATAGACCAGGTCCAAAGTGTTTGCATTCACCGGAACCAGGTGACTGGAACAAGTAACTTATAGCATCTCAGTCTCAGTGGGCTGAAAGGATGTAGGTTTATAGGCATGGTAAGATGTTGGCTCTCCCAAACATTAATTATGAATAAACTTGTTTAGAAATATAAACTATTCCAAACTGATCCCCACTTTCCCAAAGCCAAGAAAATGTCAGAACCTTGAGTTCAGGGTGATACAGTGGGGGTGACATCCTGTGAAAAAGTCCAGCCAAACCACCATGTATGTTGTAAGGAGGTTGGCAGAGGAACAAGAGTAGGACCTGGGGGCCCAGGTTGCCCCTGAGACGGTGCCTCTTGTCTAGTCCTCTAATTGTTTCCTCCTCTGACACCTGCTCATCACTGACCCCAGTAGAGGGTTCTTGGCAGAAAGCATTAAACAGGCTGACCCAGGGCTTCCTGCACAGTGACAGCCGCATCCTGTTGTCTTATAGGACAGGGTGTGTGACTGGGGCGGGACATTCTGCTTTGTAAGGATGCAGAGAACTCGGCTACATTTTTCACTTGACTGTAGCCAAGAGTGATTATAAAACAAAACTAGTACACTACTCATACTCCTCTCTGGAAGACTCTGCTGAGCTCCCAGAGTCAGCAGAAGGGCCATGGCAGTGCGGGGCCACCTTTCCCCATGGTTCCGGGTCAGGGATCTGGATGCACAGGGGCTGGGGGGCTGGGATAGGGAGCTTCCAGTGGGTCCCTTTGAAAATCCAATTCTGCAAAGCAGGCCGGCCTCATCCATCACTACTCTGACGGGAACCTCTCTCCATCTCAACACCTCTGGCTGCTTCCTCCACCCACTGCCTGCACACATCAGGCTCACGTTCGCACATGCTCACAGGCACACTCACCCATCCTGGTTTCTCCCCAGACGTAACCCAAGGATTTCCTTTTTGGACACCAGAGTGTCCTTGCTCATCCTCTCCATTTCATTCCTCTTTATATACCCCTTGTGATTATTTTCCTTCTTTTTCCTTTATGCTGACACTTGTACCTTTTGCTTCTTTCTTTTGTTTTCCTCTCTCTTCTTCTTTTTAAGTTTTCCAGTCACAGCAAGCTCATCACGCCAGCACCCTCATCTCTGCCCCACTCCCGCCGAGCCCTGTCCCCCGAGATGCACGCCGTCACCTCTGAGTGGATCTCGCTGACTGTGGGGGTCCCAGGCAGGCGTTCTCTGGCCCTGACCCCACCCTTGCCTCCTCTGCCAGAGGCTTCTGTCTATAACACTGACCACCTTGCCTTGTCACCAAGGGCCAGTCCCTCCCTGTCTCTCAGCCTCCCCCATTTGAGTTGGTCAGATCGTCCCACCCCACGATCAGTAGCTTCTCCACTGGCCCTACCTTCCCCACACAAAACCTACGCCCTAGCACCCGCTTCCCAGGCCTCCCTTCACATGAATGGAGACGGTGGTGTCCACATGCCATCTTCAGGCATCCACCAAGATAGCTTCTCGCAGCTGCCACTGGGGAGCTCTGATAGTGTCATCTCCCAGCTTAGTGATGCCTTTAGCAGCCAGAGCAAGAGGCAGCCATGGCGCGAAGAGAGTGGACAATATGAGAGGAAAGCAGAGAGGGAGGCAGGCCAGAGAGGCCCTGGCGGACCCGAGATCTCTAAGAAGAGCTGCTTGAAGCCTTCAGACGTGGTCAGGTGCCTGAGTACTGAACACAGACTCTCAGATCTCAACACCCCTGAGGAGAGCCGGCCCGGCAAGCCCCTGGGTAGCGCTTTTCCAGGAAGTGAGGCTGAGCAGACAGAGCGGCATAGAGGTGGCGAGCAGGCGGGGAGGAAAGCTGCTCGGAGAGGTGGGAGCCAGGTAGGACTGCAGCATGCCGCGTGTGCACTTGGCGTCTCACTTGGCAGGGTGGGCTGCACGTCTCGCCCCGGTCCATCTACGGAGGCCAAGTGAATGCTGGTGAGACCATTTGCTTGCCTCGGGAGCAAAGAGATGGCCCCGGAGGGAATGGGGGGACATGAATTCAGGTGCCAGGGCTGGATACAGTTGGAAGGAAAGGACAGGCTATATCTGACTATTTGAGGTCATTCGGAAGTTATCTCTACTTTGAATGCCTCCTGGCCTGTTGCAAGGGCCTCTGAGAAGGCAGACCTTCCTCACGTCCCATGTATGCCTTGGAGATGACCCTCGATTTGCTTTGACTAACACAGCTGAGAACACCAGGCTTTGGTGTGGTGGTGTGGTTTGCTTTTATGTAAGATGCACTTTGTTTCCATAACCCATGGTGCTCTGCTAGTGCTCGGTTCTGTCAGGTCTTTGTCCTGTCTCGTGTTTGTGTGGGCGCGCGGGGCCTTTGTTTGCCACGCAACAAAGGTGTTTTGGTTCTGGAGAGGAGAATGCAGGTCTCCTGGGGCCCTGACTGACATGGGGTATCCTCGAGTAGGCATGCCAGGTTTTTGGGTGAGTGTCCCATCTTCTCTCTGGGTCAGCTACAAAGAGTGCAGCATTTGGGCAAAGGTAGCCTTAGGGTGTTTTGAGACCTGAAAATTTTTTTGGAGACATGAAATTAGCAACTAAACAAATCACAATTCTGATTTTGGCTATGCTGTTTACTACTGCTAAAGTCAAAGACTTTAGGCAACTCCTCTGAAGCAACCAGGTTTGAATGCCAGCTCCACCTCTTACTGTCTAGTGACTTGGGAGTTACTTCCCCTCTCTGAGACTCAGTTTCCTCATCTGTAAAATGGAGATGATAGGACCTACGTCAAAGAGTGGTTGAGTACAAGGGCTTATGATCCTGGGAACATGGTCAGCACTTTATAAATGGAAGTGATAGAGCCACCATCTTGGGTGATCTAGAACTGCTTCTAGAACTGAGAATATTCTTAGAACCTCCTTAGACCCAGATTGAGTTCCTGAAGATGTCTGCAAGCCATTTATTAAGTATCTAGTATGTATGATGTCCACAGTAAATAGTGCTTAACCCTTAGGCTTGCAACCTCAGTTTCCCTTTGAGGCTGTAGTTATTCCATCTATGAATAAGACCTGCAGGTACCAGCCTCTGGGCAGCATATAAGGGTCATTTGTCTCTCCTCTTGAGGACCCTAAGTTCAAGGCTCCTCAAAACAAGGAGGAGCCTACAAACACAGCAATACCACCAGGGCAATAATAGAGGCATGCTTGGGGGTCACAGGAACACAGAGGCTTGAGACACACTAGGCCAGACTTCCAGCTCCAGCCAAGCACATGTGGGCCCATGGGTGGGCCAGCACATCAGGAGTAGGGATCACTGAGGGTGAGCCAGCATGGGGTAGTTTATAAGAAATCAGGCTTAGTCTTTTGTTAGAAAGCCACTTAACCTCTCACATGCAAAATAGGAGTGGAAGCAGTCCATCACTTGTAGGGCAAGGATTCAATGAGGTAATTAATGGAAGTTGGTGCTTGGCACGTGCCAAGGCTCCATATGTGGGATCTCCAGCTGCTGTGTGGGGCCGTAGGAAAGCAGCAATACCTGGCAAAGGCTTTGCCTGGCCCTGGAACAGGTTGAGGAAAAAATAGAAGAGGTGGTAAAGTGGCTAGCTGAAAAGAATTAAATGTCTCTGACACAGGAACAATTCTATAAACGTTCTAAGTCAACCCAAGGCACCCGAGGACATCCTTATCGTCAGTGTTGAGTCATCATCCCGGCCCAATTCCAAGATCCTGTGTGTATAGGAAGTGCGCACGGTGCCGGATCTCCGAGTAAGGTTAGGGGTATACGCTTCCTGCTTCCTAAGGCAGGATAGGAGTGGAGTAGCTGGCAACACTGAAGATTATGTTGATTGGAAAGTCAGGCTTGTTGAAACTTGGTGTTCCTTTCTTGGTGGGCCTCCAGACCCCAAGTGTACCACTTCCTGTCCCCTCCCTTCCTTCTGACCTCCTGGCACAAGCCCCTTTTCCATGGGTGTGCCCAGGCTGTGGCCTGGGGCTCGCTCCCCCTTGAGAGCTGGCATTTGTGTGAAAAGGGCTGCACCCACACCTCCCCTTTAGCCGCCTCACTTTCCCCTCCTGTGGCTGGAGCAGGAGCTGACAACTCTGGAAACGGGGTCCTTCAGAAGAGGCTCCTGTGTCTTGGGCCCCCTTTGGGTGACAGACATGCTAAAAATGGAAAGGACTTATATGACAACTGTTCTCTGGCAGCCCCATCAGAATGACGTGACCACAGGAAAAATGCATTCCAGACCAGTTTGCGTATCAAGAAAACTGTCAGACATTATGATCCTTGCTGAACTAAAGAGCTGAAACAAAAGTTCACTTTTATTATAGGTATTGGGGAGGTAGGTTGAGAATCTGACCAATAATGAGAGGGAATTTTACCTGAGAACCTTAAATGAAAAGATATTCTGAAATGTTATGATCATTTACTCTTTGAAGCATTTAGGATATTTCAGGCAGTTTGCTGCAAGAGATAGAGAGGGGTGAACATCATCAGGGCTTCCATTTAGATGTAACTTCTAGGAAGCTGTTGGGGCCAAGGGAAAGTTTCCCTTTTGTCCTTTGAAGTTTCCCTAAAAATTACTGATAAGAAGCAAAAAAATTGTTTTCTTTTCTTTCTTTTCTTTTTTTTTTCTTTTTTTTTTGAGTCAAAGTCTCACTCTGTCATCCAGGCTGGACTGCAATGGCACAATCTTGTTGCAACCTCTGCCCCCAGATTCAAGACTTCTTCTACCCCAGCCTCCTCGAGTAGCTGGGACTACAGGCACATGCCACCATGCCCAGGTAATTTTTGTTTTGTTTGGTAGAGACAGGGTTTCACCATGTTGGTCAGGCTGGTCTCAGACTCCTGACCTCAAGTGATCCTCCCGCCTCGGCCTCCTTGGATTACAGGCATGAGCCACCACACCCGGCCAAGAAGCAAATTAATAGGAGAAAAGGCATACAGTTTTATGTGACATAGGAGCCTTCAGAATGAAGACCCAACCCCCCAATGGGGTGCAGAAGCTTATACCATCTTGAGGTTACAGAAGAATGGGGGCTCAGAGGATGGCCAAAGACAGGTTATGGTGGTAAATCATATTTTAAGCAGTAAGACACGTTATGGGAGGGAGAAAAGTAAGGCTTGGCTAGCAAAGGGGGTCTTGTTATTTAGATGAAAGCTCACAGGTAGCAGCCTCAGAGAGAATAGATGGTAAATGTTTCTTTTAGGCCTTTAAAGGTGTCAGCCTGTCAGTTCATCTTTTCTAGATCTAGACAAGGGAAAGCCTCAGAGAAAACCTGGCTGCATCAATGCAGATTTTTCCCTATAAATACAAATCTCCTGCACAAAAGACAGCTTTGCAGAGCTACCTGTTTTTGCTGGCTCTCTGACAGCCATCCCAAAATATGTCAAAAAATATATTTTGGAGTAAAATGTTCTGATTTCCTTTAACACCTTTCCTGACAGCCTCCCCCACCCCTGCATGAGTGGATTCAGTGCTCTGACTTTGTGCTGCCACAGCCCCTGCAATGGTCTGAGTGAGTGAGCCTCTCTCAGCCCCGTTTGCTTCCCTGTGTTCCCATAAAGTATCAGTGCTCCAAGGGCAAGACCATGATACCTGATGTATGGAAGGCACTCAGTGAATATTTGTTGAATGAAAGAAAAGGCAAGCCAGACACGGTGGCTTACACCTGTAATCCCAGCACTTCGGGAGCCTGAGGCAGGCGGATCTCTTGAGGTCAGGAGTTTGAGACCAGCCAGCATAGGGAAACCCCATCTCTTCTAAAAATACAAAAATCTCTTCTAAAAAATAAAAAAAATCAGCTGGGCGTGGTGGTGCATGCCTGTAATCCCAGCTACTTGGTAGGCTGAGGTGGGAGAATCACTTGAACTCAGGAAGCAGAGATTGCAGTGAGCAGAGATAGGGCCTCTGCACTCCAGCCTGGGTGACAGAGCAAGACCCCGTCTCAAAAAAAAAAAAAAAAAAGAAAGAAAGAAAGAAAAGACAAACAATGACTGACCCCAACTAAAGGGAGTTTAGGATCTCCACCAGGGGGGTAAGATCTGTTCCCAAATAATTATAATGCAAATAAGGAAAGAGAGTCACAAACTACACCCCCTGGAAGATCAAGATGGGGAGAAATAATAACAAGGGAGGAAGGTGGTTGTCTGGAAACCTCAGGAAAAAAAATGCTGGGCAGGGTGTCAGAGCCCCAGCACAAGGAGGTGGTTGACTTGAGTGTTGGTAAGAAAAATTGACTGATAACAGTATAGGTTTGAAGAAGGAAAGTTTATTAGAAAGAAAGAATACTGCAAAAGAGTGCAGCAGGGCACTCAGTGAGAGAGGACTGAGCGCACTGTGGTGGATTTTCCTCAGGAGTGTTTATGGACCTTAAGGCGGAAGCTTAGGGGCAATTTGGACCATACTGGCCACATAGGTCATAAATGATTACATCTGTAGATGTTTTGGTGCCTTAATGTCAGCAAGTGTTGCACAATGAGTTTCAGCATGCCATTCCAGAGATGTGTAGAAATTCTAGTTACTTATAAATTTGGAGGGAAAGAAATCTGGGACCAGATGCCTGCTTTAAATGATAGGGAAGTCTAATTACTTCTAATTTTCCCAGATAAAGAATTTGGCCTGTTTGATGGTCACCAGGTGGTCATTGCGCCCTTCTAAATTCCTCAGATAAGGAGTTTTTGCCTCTGGGGCCTGCTGGATGGTCACCAGGTGATTTTGCTCTCCTCAAAAAAGTAGCATTTAATCTGAGCCTTAAAGAATAAGAGTTTTTCTCACAGGTGTACAACAGGAGGGTGGGACTCAAGGCAAATAGCTCAAGCAAAGGCCCAGAGGTAGGACCATGAAAGGTATGCATGAAGAATGATGCATTCCTGGTTTGGGTGA